GGCTTTCGCCTGAGCCGTCCTCACACCCACTGCTGGCTTCTTCTGAGCTCTGCTCTGTGCCCCGCGGGCTGCAGGCCTCAGTTTACTTGCCGGTTGCTTCTGGCTGGGTTCAGGCCGACAGGGGGAACAGATGGGAGCTGGAAGGAAAACAGCAAAGTCAGGTCACCTCTCCCTCACCTCAGCCATTTCTCCTTCTCCTCCCACTGTCTCAGGTGGAGCCCCGAGTCTGTGGATGGCAGGAGCTGCCCCCACCGCCACCCCCATGAGGAATCTTGCCCTCTAGCCCCCGCTTCCTCAGGGGTCCACCCGGAAGTCTCCTCCGGTGCCACACAGGGCCTGTTCTGGCTTTGCTTAAACCACAGTCTCTCATTTTTCTTCCCTCTACCCCCAGGGCTGTAGGAAGATCTGCGCATGTTTGTGTCTGAATCGCATCTCCCATTCGGTTTTTTGGCAATCTACCACTTTGGAAAACAATTCCCTGACATTTTTTTTTTTTGGACGGGGGACGGGAACTGACGTGTAGAGTTCTGTTCATTGGCTTTTGTCAGTCCTGGGGCTTGAACTCGGGGTCTGGGTGTTGTCCCTGAGCCTTTTTTTTTTTTTCCCCTAGAAGTTTAGTGCTTCACCACTTGAGCCACAGCTCTATTTCTGGCTTTTTTTTTTTTGGTAGTTAATTAGAGATAAGAATCTTTTCAGCTTTCTTGCCAGGGACTGGCTTTCGACTGTGATCCTCAGATCTCAGCCTCCTGAGTAGCTGGGATGACAGGCGTGAGCCACGGACCACAGGCATCCCGGCAAGAAGGGAATTTGACTGGGTACTGGTGACCCACCTCCTTCAGCTGGATGATTTAATAGCCTTCCCTCCCCTCCCCCTTTCCCAACCCCTCCTTGGCAGGCAAGTCTGCCAACCTGTGCCTTTGCTTTCTTCTGAGGATTTCCCCATCCCCCACCCAAGCCTCCACCTCTCCACAGACATCCCAGCTAGGCCTTCTTCCAGCAATTAGAAAGCCAGACTCCGCTGGGCGTCGGTGGCTCACGCCTGTCATCCTCACTACTCAGGAGGCTGAGGTCTGAGGATGGTGGTTTGAGGCCAGCCCAGGCAGAAACGTCCGGGAGACTCTGATCTCCCAGTGAGCCAGAAGTGGAGCTGTGGCTCACGTGTGAGAGCGCTTGCCTTGAGCTCAGGGACTGTGCTCAAGCCCTGAGTTCAAATCCCAGGACCCAGACGACGACAAACAACAACAACGAAAACCCTTCAACGCATGCACAGAGGGAAGAAACTAGAATCCAGCCTTCCTGGGGGAAGCTCGCCAAGCTTTCTGTACATCTCCTGGGGTGTGATTGGAAAACAAAGGTAAACTGGGACCGATTGCCTCCCGCACCCCTCCCCGCCCCAGCAGGCTTAAAGCAGCCTCGGTCATAAAGGGTTTATAAACTCTAAAGAAAGATAATAACTTCCCGTCTCAGCCTGCCCCCCTCCCCGGTCATGGGGAGGTAAAGGCATGTTCCCAATCAGCCGGGAATGTGACTTAGATGCCAGGTTTTATTTCACTGTAATCTGCCTGAATGCTCACCGGGGAAAGCAAAGAGGAATCACTGCCACGCCAACCCAATTCATTAACTCCTTCCTCCTCTTCCTCCTCCTCCTCCCCCCTCCTCGTCTTCCCCTCCTCTTCTCCTCCTCCTCCCCCTCCCCCTCCTCCTCCTTCTCCTCCCTCTTCCTCTTTCTCCTTCTCTTTCTTCTGGAGGCTTGAACTCTGGGCCTGGGCGCTGTCCCTCAGCTCTTCAGCTCAAGGCGAGTGCTCTACCCCTTGAGCCACAGCACCACTTCCAGTTTTCTGGTGGTTCATTGGAGATCAGAGTCTCACGGACTTTCCTGCCCGGGCTGGCTTTGAACCGTGATCCTCCGATCTCAGCCTCCTGAGTAGCTAGGATGACAGGCCCTCTTTCAGGCCAAGCCTTGCCCCTTGTTTGAAGTACTCTCGGGGAAGATATGGCTGCCTCCCCCAGGGTGACTTCCTGGCTTTCTCCAGGGGCTGCCTCAGGCAGGTGTGATGTGTGCAGGCAGAGTCTCGGTTCAGCCAGGCAGGTGCTGGCTGGGTGCTTGTCTCTGCCGGGATCCTGCAGTGCTGACTCAAAGCTGTCTCTCCCTCTCCATGAGAGAGCGCCACAGCCTCTGCAGTCAACGTACAGAGTCCAAGAGAAAGGGGGCAAACATGGCCCTGCTCTGCCCGGCTGCAGGCCCAGGGCTGGCCCCTGGTGCAGAAGAAGCAGAGACGGTTCACCTGACTGTCTGCCCAGGCTGCTGACCTTCCCCACACCCTTCAGGCTTTGGACTGCAAGGGGTCTGGTCTTTGAGAAGCTCGGCTTAGCCCTTCAGGTCTGACAAAATGGCTGCCTGAACTGGGCGCCGGTGGCTCACACCTGTCATCCTAGCTACTCAGGAGGCTGAGATCTGAGGATCCTGGTTCAAAGCCAGCCTGGGCAGGAAAGTCCATGAGACTCTTACCTCCAATGAACCACCAGAAGTTGGGCTGTGGCTCAAGGGGCAGAGCGCTCGCCTTGAGCTGAAGAGCTGAGGGACAGCGCCCAGGCCAGTTTTGTGAAAAGCTCCGAACACCAACAGGCACCAACCTGTGGCCTTTATGTGGAGTTTTTCTTTTTAGTTGAAATTGTTATTATAAAGGTGATGTACAGAGGGGTCACAGTTACATAAGCCAGGTAACAATGTCACCCCTTCCTTCTCTCTCTCCCTCTCTCTCTCTCTCTCTCTCTCTCTCTCCCTCTCTCCCTCTCCCCCCCCTCTCTCTCCCTCCCCCAGTTTTTCCCTCCCGGCCCCACCCACAAGTTGCGCAGTTCATTTTCCACATAGAGTCCAGTGAGGACCACGGCTGCACTTGTTCACCCCCTTTCTCCCTCCATTTCTGGGCCTCCTCTTGATTTCCCAAAGACCAATAAAGGAACAAACAGGACAGAAAGAAACAAAAACAGCAACAAAGACACAAACAAGCAAACCTGGTTTCCATTTCCTGACGTTCACTTGGATATTTATATGGAGTGGTTTTTGTTTATTTTTTGTTTGTCATGGGACTTGAACTCTGGGCCTGGGCGCTGTCCCTCAGCTCTTCAGCTCAAGGCGAGCGCTCTACCACTTGAGCCACAGCGCCACTTCTGGTTTTCTGAGTGGTTCATTGGAGATCAAAGTCTCTTGGACTTTCCTGCCCAGGCTGGCTTTGAACCTCGATCCTCAGATCTCAGCCTCCCGAGTAGCTGGGATGACAGGCGTGAGCCACCAGCGCCCGGCTCACTTTTCCTTCTTGGTGGCAGATCTGTGTCTGTGTGCCTGTGCATGGGCATGCACACCCAGTCCACGTCTCCTTGCTTTCTATTCTGGCCAATGAGAGCCGGTCCTCTTGAGCACCTAAAGCACTAGGTGCTTAAAACATGATGTTGCATTAATCAGGGAGGTATTATTATCGTCCTCACTTTCGAAGAAATCATGCACAGGGCAATGTGATGACTTGTCAAAAAATAATATAGCTGGGTGCCAGTGGCTTGTCATCCTAGCTGCGCAGGAGGCTGAGATCTGAGGATTGTGGTTCAAAGCCAGCCCAGGCCGAACAGTCCATGAGACTCTTATCTTCAATTAAACCACCAGAAAACCAGAAGTGGAGCTGTGGCTCAAGTGGTAGAGCGCCAGACCTGAGCCAAAAAAGCTCAGGGGCAGCGCCCTGGCTCTGAGGTCCAGGAACAGTATGGGCGTGCGCGCGCGCGCGCACACACACACACACACACACACACACACACAAATAGCGCTAAATATAAAGCTTAACTGAGGTAAAAATGAAAAATACAATAACAGCATGAATCATAGCCATGATCAAACAACTATTGATTGGCTCTTGAACATTTGTTTTTCTCGAGTTCTCATAAACTCCCGGAAGGCAGATTTTTGCCAGCTTTATTCACACCTGGCTTACATGCTTCGCACTTATCTGGTCCTAGATAAGTGCTTGGAAAAGGCTCATATGTTATTAATTGGAGAGAAGAGTCTCACGGACTTTCCTGCCCAGGCTGGCTTTGAACCGCGATCCTCAGAGCTCAGCCTCCTGAGTAGCTAGGATGACAGGCGTGAGCTGTTGGTACCCAGGCCCCGGGTCCCTGTTTTGGAAAGCCCACTCTGAATTTTTCCAGCAGCCCCAGCTCTCCGTTGCTGTCCTGGAAGCCCAGAGCTCGGTGGCATCTTTCCCACCAATGCACGGGCCCGGCCTTTCCAATCTCCTCTCGCACCTCCCCTTCCAGCTCCCTTCCCGGCCCTTCCAGGCATGATCGCTTGGCAACCTGTCTGTGGATGGAGGAATCCTATTGGCTCTGCCAGCTGAGTACAATACTTTCTGTTGATTGAACACAGGCTAAGCCCTAAGCCCCGAGTGCCTGTGGGTATTTGAAAGCCTGAAGACCGAGCTACCACAAATATAATTCCTACATGTGTCCACGCATTCCTGCGTGTGACCTCAGACTCCACTTGCACGAAAGGAACAGCATAAAGCAACTGCTGCTCAGATGGTTGGGGGGTGGGAGGGGGTGTGAGACTCGGGCCAAGGCTGAGGGGGGGGGCTCCCAGGAGCCCTCGGGGCCTCTAAAAAAAACCCGATATGAAGTTCTCATTTACCTTTAGCCAGGGAGGGAGCTGGCCCCTCCTCCCACACCCCCCTGGGGCCTGCTGGGCCGCTGACCTTGAACGTGACCCCTCCCACCGCGCAGTCCCAACCACGTCTCCAGCCTGTTTCTCCAAGGCTCTGCGCTGCTGCTTCGTGGCCCCTGGCTCGCAGAAGGCTCCAGCAGCATCTGGAAGGTTCCCTCTGGGGTTGTATTTCTGTCCCTCCTCCAGGACATGGCGGGGGTCTGGGAAGAGTGGGTTCCCCTGGATGGGTTTTGGGGGGGGTGGGTAAGGCTGCTTTCCCATTTGTCGGTCTCCTCCTCGGCCTTGGGTCTGTAAATCAGGGGCCGGGATGGAAGAGGCAGGTGAAGGCCTCCAGGTAGGCACACCCCCTCCTCTCCTCTACCCCAATCACCATCTGGATGAGGAAGAAGGAGACCCCGTGGAGGAGGCTCAGGGGAGCCTTCCCCAGGTACCCCAATGGCAGCCCACTGGCCCACACGCAGCTCAGGACCTGGGGGCAGAAGGCCAGCAGCACACTGCCCTTCTCCAAGTAGAGACAGGTGTCTGCCAGACGATTGGAGGAGAGCGTCCCGCTCCCCGTCCAATCGGCAGCAGGCTGGTGTCATGCTGCCACTGTGGTTGGAGGGGCCACACTGGCCAGCGCAGCTGGGCCCAGCGTGGGGCGGGGTCTCTCCAAGGAGGAGAGCTGGGGAAGGTGGAACACACACACAGCTCTGTGGCTTGCTAAGTAAGGCCAGACAGCCTGACCCTCATCCCTCCCCCTTTTAGGGTCACCTCTAGCCAATCAAAGCCACACATCCGTGCATACGGTTATTCTAGCCAAAGCCAGGATTAAGCCAAGGAAAGGCACTGGCGTGGAAATACTTCTAACCCTCGCTTCATCCTTCCCTGGGGTAAGAATAAAACATCAGGGAGGCGTAGATGGCTCACGCCTGTCATCCTAGCTACTCAGGAGGCTGAGATCTGAGGATCACGGTTCCAAGCCAGCCTGGGCAGGAATGTCTGTGAGACTCTTATCTCCAATGAGCCACCAGAAAACTGGAAGTGGTGCTGTGGCTCAAGTGGCAGAGTGCTCGCCTTGAGCTGAAGAGCTGAGGGACAGTCCAGAGTTCAAGCCCCATGACTGACAAAACAAACAAAAACCTGAAAAGAACCCAAATGTCAATTAACAGGAAAAACGATGAACACATAGATTGTCTGGTATGCACATGATAAAATACTACACACCACTAGAAAGTCAATCATCTAATGAGCTACCGCACCTCCTCCACACCAGTTTTTGGTGGTTAGCATGAGATAAGACTCAAGGGCTTTGTGGTCCAGGCAGGCTTCAAACTGCAATCTGTAGAGCTCAGCCTCTTGAGTAGCTAGGATGACAGGTATGAATCACCAGCTCCTGATATCTTTTCTTCTTCTTCTTCTTCTTTCCCTTCTTCCTCCTCCTCCTCCTCCTCCACTTCTTCTTCTTCTTCTTCTTCTTCTTCTTCTTCTTCTTCTTCTTCTTCTTCTTCTTCTTCTTCTTCTTCTTCTTCTTCTTCTTCTT